CGACATATTTCAGGCTAATTATTAAATTGCTGCTCGGAGCCTAGTGTTAACCGTTAGGCACCCAAAATGTGAATGATTAATTTTAGACTGTGTAGCTATATTATTTAAATATATAATTATTTTATTTATTAAGATTTATTAAGATAATAAGAAGGTACTAATACGTAATAGTTTCTAAGGTTTTTAATTTATCAATATTAATGGTTCCTTTTATAATTAAGTACGTACTACTCTAATATTACTGATATTATTTGAATCAAAACTTATATCGAATTATAATATTCACAGAAAAATCCTAAAATTCCAAAATTATTGTTTAAAGACATATCTTATTTCATTGCAGTATTCTCTGATAAATAAAAAAGTATTTACTTGAATCTTTTAGTGTCTACAGATATTTAAATTCTGAGAAAGATTAAATTTGTGTAAAACTATATGTCGGAAAATTCTTTAATATTTATTATTTCTTATCTTCTTCTAATTGTACAAGTACTGGCTAGTATATGCGACTTTAGCCGTGTAACTATTGATTAGCCGGGATAAATTATACTAAATTTCATAAAAAATCGCTAAACCATTAAGGCGCTAAGAGGTAACAGTCACTCATTTTACCATAGCAATACAATACGATAAGGATAGTAAGGATTATCCATACTATGATAACTCGTCATCTTATATCTCGTTATGCTGCGCGTAGGCGCCCGTTTTGTCAACAGTCTATTGTGGTGCGCGGGCGCCGCGGTTTACGACGTCGTAAATCTGCGCGCGCGCATTATGATCGCTCGATAGTCAACTGTCAAAACTCTCAGGTGTACCTGTGAGCTTGGGGGTGACTTTTTCTAGTCATCGTCTATCTATAAATGTATTCGAAAATTTCTTTCAAGTACATTTTATTTATTAATTTACTGACTCAATTCCATGGATTTGTTAGCATGACGAAAGGTATTTTCTGCGTTAAGGATATGCCCAGCTGTGTATTAATTTTCAATTAATACTGTTCAGCCTTTTAAGCGTGATTAAATAATCCATATCAGCCATTACTGTCCACTGCTGAAGATAGGCCTCCTCAATAGGGGAGAGGGGGGTTTGCCAGTAGTGACCACGCTTGGCAGGCGGATTAGTATCGCAGTCAAGCTTTGGTAAAAACTTTTGTAAAACAACACCAAAAGCCTAACTGCAGCTGCCAACCCGCCTGCTAAGCGTGGTAAATGCTGTCAAAATCCTCTTAATAATAAATACCATATTTATACTAAATTAATGACCGAGTACCATACATCCAAAATATCATGTAACTAGGATAGGAATAATAAAATACATTTAAGTACGAGTATACTCGTATTTAGTGAAACTATTTTTTTAACAAAGGAATTCAGCATATATAATAATAAAATACTCGCAAATAGCCTGCCTACACTTCAAAACCAGATGTAATGAACACACCTACACCGTAATTTTTTTGATAAAAGATAGAATAAAGTGTACCAAATATGTTATCTCCTTTACATCTGAACATTAAAACCTACACATGTGACACAATACTGTATTTAGAGAAATCGTAGTAAAATATACAAAACAAATTAAATATATACTTTGTATGAAATTTGAGGTTCCTATTATAAAAATTGCATCATTTTTTATCAAAAATAATACCACCTGATACGATCTGTAATACTTTTTTTAAGTCTTCTACATTTTTTGGGACTGTTTTGAGTAAGTCATCATATGGCATTTTGCGCATACTTGTAACAAAAAAAAAAGAAACATGCACAAACTAGATTCAGTTGCGACATCTTTAAAAATCTACTTCAAACCGTGAGCGAGCCACTAGTTTAAAACACTTCCACAAAAATATTAATGGGCAATTTAACCACGTGCGCGCCAAGGGTTAATGTTTGTGTGCGAACGTCACACACTGATAGAAACTCACGCACACATGCATACAATTCGAGTAACCCTTCCAGTTCTTACTTGGAAATTAGGTAAGTAGATACTTTGTTTTAGATTGTCATCTTAGATTTTTCTTTGAAGTGCCAACGAAGTTTTGGGGTAAAAATTGAATATTAATAGCAAAATTATCCCCGCGGCCGTCCTACCCCAGGTTTTTATTACTTTATTAGTCTTCACTTCTTGTTAATGTGATATAAACAAATCGTTGGACGCGTTTATACGTTCCGGGAAAGGGGATGGTGTCAAAAAACAGTAGCATTTTTATAGCTTAATCGCGTGTGTTTATTTGATGTTATGTTTTTATATTAGCGTATTTGCTCTTGTTGACGTATACAGCTATCATAATAATGTAAAAATGATGAGATTTACATTTTGTAGATTATTATTACTTAATTAAAAAAAAAAAACTAAAATATTTAATTTTAAAACTCAAGCATTTAATTTCTTAAATGCATCACGATTTATCATTTTTGTCAAGAAACAGCAGTACGTCGTTGCCTAAAATTGTGTATTAAAGAAATTAATGCGATTCTCAAAAATTTGAAATGTTTGAAATTATATATATCACAAAAAATAATGATTGTCTATTGAGCTATATATTGCACATAATCTGTGAAAATTATAAATTTTCTATTAGATAAACTTCCATCATGCCTGCCATTGAAAATTATATAAAAAAATAATGTATTCACGCCAAGTGCCTTAGAGATTAACCGAAGCAGCCAAATGAATTGTATGAACTACTTTAAATATCAAGAAGTCTATTCCCGTTTAATAAATACGTTGATTTTAGATGAATTTAAAATTTGAAAACTTATAATAAAAGTAACTGTAACTGGATATGTATTATTTTTACAAACAAATTATTGTTCTGAAAGTTTCTAGAAGTATCTATGAGTATCATTTCAATGAGTTATTAAAAATATTAATGTATTTATTTAAAACTAAACCACATAACAAAATTAATCAAAAGATCCTATTACTTTGACAAATTTTGACAAAATATTGCCACATTCCAAAAAAAGAAATACAAAGAAATGGCTATGATTTACGAGAACACCATAATCAATGATGTACATTTTTTCAATGGCCATAAAATCTTTCTTGTCTATTCATCCCTCAGATTGTTCGGTTGAATTAAGTCATATATTACTGCAAATTGTTTTAGATACACGCGATAGTGTAGAATTACAAAATACTATCAAATTGTTAAGTCCTTAAAACATTTGTTTTTTTTTGTTACCCGAGCCGTCATTTTAATACAATTTATTTACGGTGAGATTTTTTTGTTTTCTTATAGAACCGTTATTTCGTATTCTTTTTTAATGCAACAAATATATTGTGTTTTATCTTTATTTTATGTGGTGTTTATTTTTATAATTTACTAATATCAGTACTATTTTAAAACTTTTAAGAATGTCTATATAATAGAATACCTACACTCTACAGTCTTTTTTCCATACTCCAAAATGACCTTTGAGATGTGTTTGCCCTCTTTAATGGCTACGGAACCCGTGTTTACCGAATAGTGTCGCATAAACACTGTCCATGGAGAAAACCATTTTTCACTCGCGAGACTTAATTTCTGGTGGGTCGTTTTTCATCTAACCCTAACTTTAAATGTCACGAAATAAAGTGACGTAAGTCAAATTCACCTATATTTATAGAAAATGTTTTTTTTTTATTACTGGTAATATTTTAGATAAGGTTAGATTTCACTGTTGTGTGTGTGAATCATTAATTTAATTTTTTAATGACATCAATGATTTTCATCTTAGGATGTTGAAACGACTTGAGGTACACAATACATTACGATTACAATAGTGGAAGATAGAAACTCGATATGAAATATTCTAATAAGTCAGCTTGATCACAGATAATATAATACTATCTTAGTAAAGCATTTTATAAATGCGCTGTTCCACCGTGTGCTAACGTTAGCAATGCACGATTTTACTAATACTACTAATTATTATTTAATTGAGTAATTGATTTGAATTATTCCTTCTGGACTTAGTAATTTTAGTTATGCGTTGATAATCAATAAGGACAAACGATTTTATAAACAAAGAAGTTAAATACAAAAAGAAACAAAAAATGATCCATTCATTGATCCATAATTTTAAATTCATTTTGAGACCTAAAAACAATTTAATATTTATCATATTATTTTAGTATCATATATGCTATACTTTATATACAAACCCTATAGATGCTTTCTTTCGGGTTCTCAAAGTTGACTGGAAGAAATCTCTTTAAGAAATATGTCCAATTGTCCAACAAAATTTTTATTATAACCTAATATCTATATTAAAAATGAATGTACAAAAGCATATAAATACATAAATAAAAAAAAGTAAATTAATCTCTAATAATTAAGTCATATGACTATTAGGAGATACATATTTTTATTTAAAAGATATAGAGAGAAATTATATAAATCCGGTGTTTTTTTTTTTTTTTATATAACTGTATAATTCAGAAGTTGTTTTACGATAAACGTTTATAAAAATTACGATTATTAAAAAAATTTTTTTCTGTCTTACACTCCTTTGTTACACGGTGTACAATGAAAGGCCCCGTCTTGTCCGTGCTCTGAATCTCACAACACACAATTTGTACAGCGACAATATCCCCTAAAAATGTAGGTACTGACCCTTGGCTTTCAAATTATAAGAACGTTTAGGAAAAATTTAAGTAAAACATTTATTTTCGTTCTATTAAAAAAAGTAGTTGTAATCTTAAACTCTCAATTTAATTAATTATTAGTGTATTATTTATAGTTTAGACGCATGGCACAAGTACTAAGTATATAAGAGAAATTTCGTTCTTGCCTAATGGAATCGCGTGTCACTGTGGGAATAATGAAAGTATGATACTGTTTAACTAGGGATTTGCCACGGTTTTATACGTAGAAAATCTAAAAAAAAAATTAATAAAATATATCATGGTATTCACAAATAATGGAATTATTTTTATAATCGGTATTTAATAACGTATTTTTGAGTTCACTCGAATTAAATATTATTTTAAAAGTTATATTGATTTATGAGGCCATTACGGCCGTTCAAAAATTGCCATAGCGGACGGTATTTCACTCCATCGTGGCGGGGTATTGGTTAAAGTTTTCAACTAGCAATAATCACATCTCGGATTAACCTCATTGATTATGATATTGCCACTGCGCAAAGCTAACCTGTGACTTGTAAGTAAAACAAGTTATCATTTTTACTACACTGAAACCATAGTGCGATGTAATACGACGGTAGCGCCATCTATCGAATATGTAGAGAAATATAAAAATTAAGTTCACCCAACACACTCCCCATCAACAATAGTTTATATATACGAAAGAAATTGCATCGAAAATACTTGAATTTAAATATTCGAAAAGAGAAACGATTTAAATATCGAACGTCGCAACATCATTGGCTGGGAACGTTGGCCGAATTTCTCCGAACTTCAAAATTCAAATTGTAACGCGATCACGCACACGCGAACCGTTACTGCACATTTCAAAAATAGAACACGCCGGCCATACTGAGCAGATGGACAGTGGCGATTCATGATTTGCTTATTAATAAGCCTATTTATTTTATTGCACACAATAAAATATTCAGGTGGCGCGGAATGAACGCACACATTCACCATGAAAATAGCTATAAAACTGTTTGTGATGTCTCTATGCAGAGTAAGTATCAGTTCAATTCCACGAAAAGAGGACACTAGAAACAATATTCTTTAAAAAGAAAACCCATTTTTGATAATGTACTTGAAACCACAATTTCATTATTCAAATAGGATATTTGAAAAAATCTTCAATATTTCCATTGAAAATTTTATTTTAAACTGCAAAAATATACGCTTATTATATGACAATAACAAAACTGTCACAAATTTATAGTTTTACCGTACAATATTAATATTAGATTACTAACTTTTACCTGCAACTTCGTCCGCATCACCAAAAAATGTTTACTGGCTGCGATAAATAATAGCTTATGAATCCTTCTCTATTCCATATGTGTATACCATATTATTTTTAATGAATAAATATTTTAAATAAAAAAAATATTTCATAGTGATTGATTCAAGTAAATTTTACCAAATTGGTTAAAGCAGGTACACCAAATTATAGTGATTGGTTAATTGGTTACCACTTTCCATTAGATGGGCCGTCAGTTTGTTTGCAATTTCAAATGTTATAAAAAATTAAATAATGAAAATACAGAAGTATTAATTTTTTATGATGTCAAAAGAATAATCTAATATAGATAGATGATAACCTAAGATAGAAATAAAATAGAAAAAAATGTGAAGGCTATTTAGTCTTCTGTTGTTTCTTGATACATTATATACTAATTCGCACGGGAAAAGTCGCGAAATATACTTAGCATGCGAATATTTTAAAATTTTATATGAGTAATATGATTTTTATAATTATATTTATAATAATAAAAAAAAAAGTTTATATTGTCGCGAGAGAAGCGGCGCGGGCGTTTATCAAAGTCCCCTGTAATAAGACGGATACAACATGTCTGATTTATCTTGAACCCTGTGACGAAGCTGTACCACCCATTTTAGTACATTTTTAAAGAACACAGGAAGAATGGAAGTCCACGATAAACTGGTCGTTGGATACAGCCATCATTTGTCATGTCAGATCTTGGTGATATGGCGTCACCCAGGGTGATGGACGGAGATTTGTGCAAATGGCAACTATGAATATTTTTTCTTACATCCTTAGCGATATGAATAGTGTGATTTCTTTACAAAACATTATATATTTAGGATGACGTTAGATTAAAAAAATCTTTAGGCATAACTTTTTTATACTACTGAAGTGGCAAACAAGCACACGGCCAGCCTGATGGTAATCGGTTACCACCACAGCCTATGAACGCCAGCAATACCTCACGTACTGAAAAAACCTCTTTTAACCCCTTTTTTGAAGAACCCAGGCAATAGACTATAACTTTTTTCGATACTGATAACCATTAGATGTCTACATTATATTCAAGATCCTTGATCTCGTAATCCTTGATATGGCAGTCAGAAAATTTCCCAAGAGACTGCAGCATGGGATTCTTCAAAAGAGGGGTAAAGAGGTTTCTTCAAAGTCGACAACGCGCGCGTAATACCCCTGGTATTGCAAGCGTTCATAGGCTACGGTAACCACTTACCATCAGGTGGGCCGTATGCTCGTGGCACCTGCCCACCTGATGGTAACCATGACCTGAACCAAAACTAATTTATATAGAAAAAGTAATTGTCCAAATAAAATGATTAAATTATTTATTTTGTTATATTACGAGTAGCTAACTTCGCTTGATAAATCTTTAATCTATATACCTAGTAAATTTTTTTCAATTTCTTTTTTTTTTCTTTTATGGCACGGCAAAATTAAAGTTTTGAAAAGTTTTATTTTATGTACACAGTAATAATAACCTATTTTTTTTTGATGGGTGAAAATGGTATGATAACCCCGCCTGCGCTAACGGGAAACGCTGGTGGAGCACCAGTGAAGGGTGATCGACGAAAAGGAAAACAGGCCAGTTAGCCCACAATGATGAATTCATCAGGAATTAACCATGATAGTTTCCTGGGAGAACCCCGAGGAGGTCGACCTGGTTGGGTATATTGCTAGCAATAGGATTCTCAGTCTCCATTACTAACAATCCCTTTCCCCCCGATAATAACCTATTAATCAATGCAATACAATTTCACATCAATAAATCCAAATATTTGTACTAACACACAGATTAAATATACACCCCGAGGGCGGGAAAACATTAATATTAACCCCTATCAGTACTGGCAGCCCCACTGTATAAATAAACATTAAAAAAAGAAACCACAAAGAAATGCTTGTAAAATATTCATTTCACTAGAGATTTTTAGTCACTTCGCACCTCCTCACTTAACAGCAAGATTCCATAGAGATTTTTGTATTTTTTTTTCGTCGTTCGAATAAAATTTACATATTTTTTCCGTTTTGGTTATATTTCGAAGATTACAAGTATGGAAATTAAGCAATATGCTTCCTTTGGGAGTCACAGCGAGGTTTATAAGTATTTATTTTGTTTTTTTATTTTTTTATTCTCTAATTAAAAGCAAAAGAATACAAAGATAATGCTTGGGTAATTAAAACTTATAATTAAATATATATAAAATGTACACAATATCATATTGACATCCCACTGCTGGGTACAGATCTACCAGATAGAGGCAGAATATTAGCTTAATATTACAAACACTGGCCACGCGGCTTGGCATAGAATTTAATTTCCAGTTTACCTTCTCTTTCACTCTATAATAGATATTAATTAAAGTTTAATATTAAATTAATAATTGTCTTAATTTACTTAAAGTGAATATAACTATGTACCATAAAATGTTTTATGCCCAATGAATTTCCAAGACTCCATCACTGGTATTGCCCAACCGTCGTACAGGCAGGAAGCGGTAGTTGGTTCGATTCCTGACCGGAATATTTTATTTGATTGATGTCATGGCTGTCGTCATAGATTACTACTCGGCAAGATCAATAGCATCTAGATAGAGTGTTTTCTTAGAAATGCTTAAACAAAAATAACCTCTTTTTTCCAATAGTACTAATCTTATTTGATGATAAAATTGTCAATTTATTTATTTACTAGCTGTGCTCACGTCTTCGTCAGCGTATCTGTACAACACTAACCTTTGATCACAATTTATTTTATACAAATTATTCAGTAAATTGTGGAATGATTTTTAAATTGCTATAACTTATATGCTGTAAAAATTTTATCTCAATTGCCCGAAGGTAATTTTTATGTGTATTTTATAACACACATAGTAAACAAACACTTTAAATAATCGTTTTTAATTCAATATCGCATATAATACATACACATAAACATATTTTTTTAAAATATTTAATATATAGTTTTGACTATGTTAAGATATTATTATATTACTATGTAAAAATATTTACTGCATTATCAATTTTATAATTTCAGACTGTTGTACACGTTAACAATATATTGAAAGAATTGAATGTATAAAAATCAACATATATACCAAAAATTTTGATAAACGTTTTTTAGAGCTTTTATTGACACTCGATGCCCTATCTAGATAGTCATAGTCTAGTCCTCAGTCTCTTAAAGAATAGTTTATGTTTATATGAATTTTACGCTATAATAAAATTATCATAGTTATTTCTAAAGTTTAAATATAAACCCAACATAAGTAGATACGTGTTACCATGTACGTTCCCATAAGATTCAAAATTAATTTAAAAAATTGAATAACAATCTGTTTAGGAAAAAATATATAAATTGGACAAAGGAAACCATGTTCAACCGACTTCAAAAGAAGGAAGTTTTCGATTCGGTTATATTTTTGTTATGTCTATTACCTCATAACTCCGTTAGTCGTAAACCGATTTGGAAAATCTTTTTTTGTCTGAAAGATTATATTGATACACAGATTGGTTTTATATAAATGTTTTCAAAATCGATTCAGTAGGTTAGTTTTTAAATTAAAATAACTGGTTTAGCCACAAATAAAGTCTTTTTTTGTCGATCACAATCTTAAATCATTGTGATATAAAATTTGTCCTTGGCAAAATATTTTTGACATAAAACAAAGAACTATGGAAAATTATTTTATGAAGTTAAAATATTTATATACTTTATTGCACTTTGTTTCTATTTGACGACCTTGGTGATGTAGCAGTTCACATACCGTCTTCTCTTTCTATAGTCGCGGGTTCAATTCTCGCACAATATTTGTATACATACAATATATAATAACATTTGTATTTGTGTGTATGTCTGTTTATATTAATCTGGGTGATTTCTATGTATGATATACATATATGTATTTACAAAAAAGTATTTAATAATGCCGTATGAAAAAACCTTCAAGGACGTCAGCGAGATATGCCCTCTGCATGCTGTGCTCGGAATTCCTTTGCGTGATAAAATTTAAAATGAGGATATCCGCAGAAGAACCAAAGTGACCGACACAGTCCAAAGGATAAACAAGCTGATTTGGCAATAGGCTGATCACATAGCTCGAAGAACTGACAATCGATGGGGAAGAAAAGTTCTTAAGTGGCGACCCCGTACAGGCTAACACAATGCAGGATAATCCCACTAGATAGAGCGACGACCTCAAATGCATTGCTAGGAATCAATGGCTGCA